CAATAAAAGTAAAAATGTAACGCGAGCCGCGAAAACAATTCATTGTTGTTTAGTTATTTTTTGATTTCTTTGCGCAGTGTCACGTTCACATTGATATTAGGAAATAACATTTGTAATCTGACCATTTATATAAAAAAATATAATTTCCACAGTTTAAGAACATATAAATAGGTCAGCAGCAGAAAGGTTTGCACTAGATATACCTATTGATTCTATGATGTTACGCCTTCGGGTTGTTAAAACCTTATTTAGATGTGAATCTTTTAGAAAAAATATTTTAAATCCATTTCAACTGCTTGCGACGCCACAACGTAACCTTTTGATCTATCGTTTGATTTAAATGAATAGTTATAAATTCGAAAAATGTCTCGAGTGACTGAGGTTGTTGTATTATGACAAATTTCTCTATCAATATCGATAGCATAGTAAATTTTAATCTAAAGAAATAATAAACATTTTATGATTTGTGGTAGGCTATCCAGTCACTACAGCAATGTGTCAAAGAAGATGCTAAGTCCGTATCTTTTCACCCTCAAACGATATCTTTATATTATAGTAAAACTGCGCCGAAAGAAGTGGCGTTAGCATTTCTTTGAGGAATGTTCGATTGTCGCACAATTCCAACTTTCTACGTTATACTTATGTGCGAATGTATGTGCTTTGAGAGAATTTGAACGTCAAGTAATATTATGATAATAATGTATATATTCGAGTTTTATTAATAGGTATCCATTTTCATTAGGTAAAGGAATATTTTCTAAGCTTTTATTTATGTTGCCGTATAGGTGCAGGTTTTTGACCTACTACCCAGTTTTCAGTTTGAAATTTATCCTCCTCCGTGCTTTGTAAGGCAGGTTAAGACGTTGGTCCCGGCTGCATCTGCAGTCGTTAATACCCATCAATCCGCACTGGGTCCGAGTGCTATTCTGCCTATTTGATTTCATTTGATTTCATGCATATTGAATGATAACATAAGTTTACATGTCTACCAATAGCCGAGGTTTGATGATGAAAAACAAATGCATTGTTAAGAAGTATTTTTATTTAAGTCACAAAGTTGTTACATTTTGTACAAATATAACCATTAAAAATACACTGTTCAGAATTGATAAAGTAAACATATAGGCGTACCTTAAGTAATGATTCTTAATCTGATTTCTTATCAAGCAAATGGATAAACATTTCTACTTTCTCAAATCCATCTGTGCTAATGACACTGCCGTGTCACTCAATTTAAATCGTGAAAAACCTATTGAAATTTAATAATATTATAATCATAGCAGTTTTGATATAATTTTAACTTTCCATCATTTCCGTTAGTATATAAATAGTTTTATAAATTGAAGAATCCATATTACTATTCTTAATATTATTTTACAGAATCGCTACTTCCAAAAAGCTATCACCTTAAAATTATATAACTACTTCTCCTATAATACTAACACACAGCCTGAGAACATATTGACTGTTGCAAAAGATACACGGAACATGAAACAAAACCTTTAAGCACGATTATGAATCTAATTTACCATTAAAATAAAGTCTACTACACTTTATTAAAAAAAGGCACATCCATAAATTTGAAATATGTAATAAATGTTATCTTAAGAAAATAAATACATTTCCATTTGGTTACATATGAAATACGTATGTTAAGGTAGAGTTTTCTTGGAGCGTTTCAGCAGGAAGTATATAGGTGGAGTCAACATGTGGCCTGAGCTGTGTATAAACATTAGCCATTAGTTATGGTTTTAATTATTTTGATGGAATAAAAAAAATATATGGTTTAGGAAGCACACTCTTTGCAGCATTTTTCAAAGAAATCTATGCAATCAATTTAGTATAAGCAAAAGTTAACGAACTTTATATTCTAATGTCAATTGCTTTGGATGCAAAATTGATAAGAGAGCCACGTTACTTATTTCAAATAGTGTATCCTTGTCACGCGATGTTGGTAAAACTGGAATGTGTTTAGTAATATTATATTTTAGAATACGTTGCGTAGCGCACCAAGTAAGCTGTACCTTAAATTTAATTACAATTTTACTACATACGACTGATATAAATATAATACACGAAGAAATCTAATAAAGGGCACATTAAACCTAAGTAATGGACATTCCAACTTTTTTTACAAAAGTTAGTATATTTAGTTTTAATTATATATTAGTTATTACATGTATTCTTCAAAAATAAAAGAACATTAGATAATCATAATGGGTCTTTAGGGTTTTTTTTAAGTAGAATATTACATATATTTAACATTAATAAATTCATTCATTACGTAAAGGATACAATAATGTTATATCGATGAAAAGTATTATATACATTTAACTATTCAATGATCATAGTTGACACACTGCACTTAAAGTACGTTAAAAGTGTAAACATAACTTAAGGAAAATCGATTTACTTAAGGCGAGGTTGTATCAAAATGACGTTTTTTTAAAACAAAGTTTCTGCTGGTGATATCCTAATATTTGCGTAAAAATATATTATTAAAATTAAACACAGTTTTTATTTTACTGCTTTGAATTTAAGTGGCTAAGTTGCGTGTGTTCTTACTCGGCTATCCCTAAGAGAATATAATCTTATTAACACCATTTTCTTATGAACAAACACATTATAGGTTACAGTAAGTACGTTAGAGTGGCCTTTATAATTTACCAATCTGTGAATACAAAGATCGAATGAAATAAATTAAATAAGTAGTTTTAAATCTTCCAACATTTTTTACTTTACTCACAAGTTGAGGAAGTCTTTTGAACAATAAAAAGAACGCGTGAGAGATTTAGACTCATCAAGCACACTCTTGCTCCACATTCTATATTGTGAAATAAAAATAAAGAGTTGTTTTTGGATATGAGTTAGCACTGCACTACAACCTGGCCTTAACTCATAAATTTCCAAACAAACTGTAGCAGCTAATTTCTCCGGCGACATTTGGTGTTTCGTTCTTCCTCATAATAATTATGTTATAATGTCATGGAAGCTGAAGTTGAAAAGAGCTGTTCTAAAGTTTTGGTAAGTTGACATATTACTTAGTAAACTTTGACATTACATTTTCCAGACTAATATTATTAATTTTTATGAAGTTATAGTGAAGTTCTTATTTTTTAACGTAAAAGTGTCTGACAAGCTGAATTATTCGATAAATAACTTTATCATAAGCTAATAAATGAAGACAAATTTAAAAAATCTGAGTGAGTGGGTTAAGTATAGTTGTATTATTAAATAGATACTTAAAGTAATGAACCAGTCGTTACGATACCCGTCACTAAATTATCACCGTTGCTCGACGTTCTCTTCAAACTGAACAGCATATGACATCTAAATCTTAAATACCTAGAGGTATACATATCGACGCTGGAAAGCAAACACGTAGTAACCCGCAAAACCAAAATTGTTCTTCAGAGCAGAAAAGCTTTTATTTTATTCGATAAATAATTCCTATAAACGTTCATGGTAACAAATAAGGTGTTCCTTAGTCAATTTATACAGAAATAAGATATTTTTTTTTGGAAAAATATAAAGATTTTCCACTCTAAATATCCCTTTTGGTTTTGCAGGTTACTACGTGTTTGCTTTCCAGCGGCAATATGTTAGATAAGGAAGTACATTATTTTCACGGTATTGATGACATAAATGGAGAATTAGGAATCTCATAGAGATGATTTTATGTCATTTCAAGTCAAATTTGGCATTCATATTATTGTTTTCAGGTGTGTTCAGGTTTCATGACACATATGCTAAAATATTATAAATAAAAACATAAACAATTTACCTGCGTTCACTAATAGCGTTTATGGTATGCGATATAATTTTTATCGTCTGTTCTGCTCTATTTTACGTTTATTTCAATACCATAGAGAAGGACAGAACATTATGATGTGTGCGATATATCGAATCTTTTTATTTAGTTTCGTAAGCAATATTACAAGATTTCGAGGCATTTTTATTGATGAAAATCATTCAACTTTATAAACGGACGACGCCAATGACGTAACAAAAATTAGGAACTTAACAATTTATTAAGCTTCTAAATGTCTCTAACCAATTTGGATCATAACTATTCAAAGTACGCTTGCGATATTACACGGAACGGAAAACAAAGCTAATTAATTGTTATTATATAAGTAATTCTTATTAAAGGAAGTTTCTGACACCGACTAAGATTTGAGCTTTTTAGGATTAGAAGCTATTATATTAAAATTTATTTTTAGCTTTTTGATAAAAAGTTAAAAAATCTCTTTAAATCGAAATGACATTTAAAACAAAAAATAAAGGTCTTCTAAGCATTTATTTAGCTGTCAATATGGACTAAAAATATTAATGTTCATTACAAAAAACTATTAAATTCCCTTATTTAAAATATTAATTAGGAATCATTCATAAACTGCTTAAAATATTGATAAGATTATTAGTTTATAAGTGTGCGTAGCAATTGATGTAAGATCCCATAATAGTCACCAAGTTTTATTCAAAGAGATAAGTGATATATGTATACCAGCCTATATAAATAAAAGGAAATTATGTACTTGCGGTAATTAAGGATCCCGCTGCAATAATGCCCAATAAACCGATACGCCTAGTTATACATGTGTAAGTAAAGTTTGACCAGGAATAGAAGTATTTAACAAGAAATTTAACCATTCATGCTGAAGCGTCACGGCCTCACAGAAAACCGACGTGAAGCAACGCTTGCGTTGTGTTTCGTCGTGTGAGTGATTGTACCGGAGGCCCAACCCCTCCCTATTCCCTTCCCTCTACCCCTCAACCCTCCCCTCCTTATGATCATATTCGTCCCTCAAAGGCCGGCAGCGCGCTTGTAGCCCCCTGTGGTGTTGCAGGTGTCCATGGGCGACGGTAATCACTTACCATCAGGTGATCCGTCTGCTCGTCTGCCCCCTATCCCATTAAAAAAAAAATAAGAAGCGGTCCTTAATTGACGCAGATACTTACATAACAAGATTCCATCTACATTTTGAAATCGGAAGAACTTAAGAAATGATGCAAGAATTCCTTTTGCTGTTATGTCTTTCCCTGATTTGTTGAAGATGCGCCAGTTGCGCAGGTGATGGGACGTGGGGTTGATGCGATGAAGCCGGTGGGGTCGGACTGGACCCCGGCGGTCCTTGGGGCCCCGTCGGTAACGATTGTCGCCGCCTTCTCCTTAACGCAGGTGATAAGTTGTATTTAACTTTAGCTTGCACCAAAAGCTCCTTGAAAATTTGCGATACATTGATGTTGTCTTTCGCCGAGGCTTCGACGAAACCGTTTTCCCAATCGACGGTTACCACTGATTCTGTAGTATGGAATTCTACCTGTAACAAGATAAGAAATATCCTTAGAAGTCACCAATTACATTAGCCATCTTTATTACGTTGGAATTTTATAAAAGGAAATTGCTAACGCCTGTTTGTGACATAAATTACGTTGGAAATATTTTCTATTTTTAATATATTTCTTAATCATTTTTCTTAGTAAAAACGATTTTTAGGGCCAAAACACAAAAACACGTCTTAAGTGGGAAATGGATATTTATTATGTTTTAAGTTTAAAATAAATTAATTACCTTGCGTAGTGTAGATATTTATAGTATATGTTTTAAAGTTGCACGATTGTCTAAATATAGATATTTATTATAGATTTAATAAAATATTTTAAATATCATTAACTTAAGCAGCGTGTCTCCCTTTTTTCAAATAAGTTACATATCACCACAAATCGGTCAGTGTTGATGCCAGTAAGTGCGACAAAGTCGGTATCGATTTTATCACCATGAAATAGAGCCACTTTTTGTGTATAATAGGATCGTCAATAAGATCTTCATTTGGGTGTCATCATCAAAATGGCGTTATTTAATTTGATGTTTTATCGATAAAACTGTTCATAATATTTTTATCGTGATTTCTTTGTAGCGTATTTTACTACACTGAAGACTTTATTTGTCACAAATAAATAATTTTAACATTAGTGCTTAGAATATTTTTTTTTTCACTATTAATTAAAATAGGTTTCGACTTTATTCTTCTATTTAACAAAGATCAATATCCAATTAGTGATTCTGGTTTAGGTGCAATATTAATGTGCTGATAAATTCTTTTTATATCATGAGTATTTGTCCGTGAGTAATGTGTCGGAACAAATTAGTTCATAGCAGTGGCGTATTTTGAAGCTAAGCGCCCTGGTTCTTTTGTCACCACGGTCCAAGGCCCCTAGTCTTAGGAAAAAATGTGTTATCGCACTATTCTTGTAATGTGCCAAAAGAAATTCTGAAATCTAATAAATTCGGACACGCAAAAATTCGGCTAATGTTTAATATTTTTTATGCCTTATAAGTCGTTACATCAAAATAAAATTACACCATGTCTGTTATGTTAATTGGATTTCAGGTCATTGAGTATTGAAAGGACAGGAAAAAATTTAGATTTTTTTTATAATTTTGTTAAATTCACAGATTTAAAAATTATCTCTACATCACAGTTAGTGTAAGGTCTTACTTCAATAACATACCTAGAAAATAGACGAAATTTCGTTTCCGAAGAAACAGAGTAAGCTTTCTGGATGCAGTGATGTTTTCCTGACTACAGTAAGGTCCATTCCGAAGTAAATACGCCCCTGGTTCATGGCAATAACATAACAGATGTCTTTAATACTTAGGTAAGGCAGCCACCGAAAAAGAAATTATTAGATGTGCCGAGTGTCAATTAATCAAGATTAAGAATAACATGTGGCTTGACGTAGACATTATAAGAATAATATTTATATCACATAAATTTCATCATTTTATGACTATTCATTTTATATTATATTTTGTCTAGGACATATATTTATTTATTTATTTATTTATTTATTTAATCTTAATTGCCTAGTGAAATAGACAAATATAATAAATGAATTTTCATATAGTATCTAAGAAGTATTTAGTGGGACAATCTCATTTTATTTCTTGATATCAATAAAATGAGTATTGTTATTCATAAACTTCCTATTCGATAAAATGAAGAAACAAGATTGGCAAGTACTCCCCAGATAATATATTATTTTATTATACTGCAGTATTTGTCCCTTTTGCCTATTTGATATCATTAACCTAAATAAGTATATGGACAGAGTCTCTATTATACAAAAAGGATCATGTAAAATAGGTCAAGAAAACTACACGCAAACGCACTCACACAACGACGGTATTTTGTACGTATATGCATATTGAGAGACTATAGCGCGAATGATTTTGTTTCGTCTTATTTAAAATTTGAATGTAAATTTTCCAATTCATATAGATAATAGAATGTCGTGTTTTTAAATGAAATATGATTCTTTTAAATAAAACAAAGAAGTACTGTTACGGAGTGCAGCGGCGCGATTAATCTACACATTATTAGATGGCGTTATGTACTAACAATGTCGAAACCGCTAACAATGTCGAAACTACGTGTGTCATATAAGATACATCGGGTCGGCGAGAAAGGGACGAGGTAGTCACTGGGGAAGAAGAGGACAGGTCTATTCTAGAATATTTTGGTAATGCCTCGAATGTTCTAGGTCCCAACCTAGAATATTCTGAAATGAAATGAAATGAAAATATCTTTATTCAAGTAGGCTATTACAAGGACTTTTAAATCGTCCAAAAAATTTTTTTCCCCTACCACTTGTTCAGGACGTCTTTTAGCTGACAAAAAGAACAAGCGAAGAATTCTAGATGTGGTATTCCTAAAAATATGCGGTGGACTAACAGTCCCGACATTCTTTCACTAACAAGATAACTAAAAGCGAAACTCGAAGCGAATAATAGTGAAGTGAAAACTATCGGACGAACTTATAATGTTGTGGAGTGTTATTAGTGACGTGAAATAGTGAAGTTGAAGTGTGAATTTTGTAGTTGGATTATTTTTGTAATTTTAATGTGTTAAAATAAGTCTTTAATTTTTATCCCGAACCTTAAGTCGTAGGTAACAGTAACAAAAGTGATGATAATGATTCAACAACGAGGATCACTTGAAAAATAATTGAAAATTTGTCAGCCCTGGTGGAGCTCATTGGTTAGAGCAGTCGCCTGGCTTGCGAAAGTTTATGGTTTCAAGTGCCATATCCGGGTACCTAGGGCTGCAAGTATTTAAACATTTTTTATTCAAGATATTTATAAAACCGATGTGGTCTATCAGTTACGTCCGTAATTACGGAGTATCTAATCGCTTAAATTAACATTACCTTGTAGAGACTTTAATTAATTAAAAGTAATTGGAATATTAAATAGCGGTTCGTCTAAATACTTATCGAAATCTTATAAAATTTTCTGCGTAGTGGGGGAGAATAACTCTTAACTCCAGCGCCGAAGGACCTTAAAGTGCGGGCCTTTTTAATAGCTTCCGGTGCTAAGTTCCATAACCGAATACTATTCTCGGAAAAGGAGGAAAGAAGAAGAGAGGAAATCCATAGTATAGGTACATATAAATAAATAGGGCTAAACGTACACTGGTAACAGGAGTTATTAAAATAAAATGATTGTATTTAAAGTAAGTTGGTGACGTAGACTAAAATAAACGATAAAATACAGAAGTTTTAAGGCCGGTAGAAATCTAATGGCTAATCCGTCGAGTATGGAAGGTAAAATGTATGTATTAGGGTCACATTATGTACTATTTATGAGACCAGACGTTTTGTCAGATATGCACTAGAAATGGCAAAGTATATGATATGACATTCAACCTTGTACATTCGACCAGTGCCGGATTAAGTCAAGATGGCGCCTGTAGCAAATTTTTGAGGGACCCTTTGTTTGCTTGAGATTAGGTGTATAATTAAAATAAAACAAATTCTTACAAACACACCTTTCTTGGTTAGTTACATTTCATTGTTACAGTAACCGCCAATAGAACTATTCAGAATCAATTTGACATAAAATATGAGTACCAACACTTACCTTTTTGTTTTTTTTTAAGGTTTGACGACAAAATAAAAATTGTGGGCATTCTTCCAATCACCTAATATATCTTTCGTGAAGACAATGACGAATAATCGGAATCAGTAACTTTGCAAACGAAACAGAAAACTCGTCCTTTGCTTATCGAAAAACACAACAAAGTAATCTGTGAATTGAATTTTAATTGTCATTTTATGTTTATACAAAAAAAAAATGAGCTTAGGCAGAAGCGTGGCCCTTTTTTGCATTTTTTTAAATTGTCGGAAAAAAATATTTATTGTATTTGTTTAATTTTGAATTTACAATGCTATACTCAAAAATATTCTTAATGAAAAATGCCTAAAAATTCCACTTTCTCTCTAGCACTTTGAGATGGGACTCGAATCCATGAACTTTTGCAATCCGTGCAAATTGCGCAAGGCCCCCAAATGCGCGGGGCCCACAGCATTTGCTACTTTTGGTACGTGGTTAATCCGGCACTGCATTCGACGGAAATTTCGACTCGTACAAACTTTTATGAGACTTGATGTTTTTCCGTTAGAATTGCGACGACGCCAAGACTTTGTCCAGATTGAGTGAAAAAAGAAATAAACTTAATGATATCAGGAATAATTCCAAATTTCGACATACTTCAATATATTTTTATGTTTGGTCAATTTTGTATTAAAAATGGCATATAATTTCAAGAAAAATGCTTATAAGAATCTTGAATGCTATGATATATTTGTTAACACGATTTTTGCCATTGATATTTTTCACATAAAAACCTAATCTAATGAAAAATATTTTTCTCTGAAGTAATTTAAAAATTAAAATAACTCTTATTAAAATCACGTATGAAATTTATCGACCCGCAGCATTTTGTCTGAGCTCTACGTTTCATTAATTACTTAATGAATTGAATATTATACCTAATTAATTTGTAAAACAATGTCGTTCAAATTTCGATGAAGGGATTAACATTTTCATAAACCAGCTATTTAAAATAGTAAACAGATTTATACAGTATAGAGCCACCTCACCTAATAAGGTTTAATATGATGACATTTAGCATGCATTGATCATAGAAACTAATCCTGAGATGGAAAATGTCAATGACTAGCTTGTATTTCAAATTCCATTAAAATTCTCCCTAAAGATACAGTTTTATTTCTTATTTTCCTCTTTGAAGTGCCCGTGTTATTAGTTATGAAATATACAAACTTTTCTATTACTTTATTCAAATGCAAATTATTCTATCTATACTGTTATGAAAAAGTAACTAAAGCAAATGTAATATCAATTAATTTTAAAGGAACGTTAATGGTTTACTGTTTGGCTACGTATTCATCGTTTTTTTTTTTTTGCATTTTACAATTGTTAAAAAACACCTAAGATTAGGCTACGTAACTTCT